TGTCGTCCAAAGCGGGAGCACGAGGAGAGGCTTGTTTTATCCGGACGATATCAAGACGCTCGGGAGCTCTGGTACGGGCGGCAATATGAGTCCTGGACCAAGGACGGCGTTGCCGTCTGACGGTAGCCCATCCAACACCTTCCTATTCGGGAACATGCAATCTTCCGCGGCTGGCGCTTCAGGATCCGGCTCGATGTCAGGTAGACCGAAAGCGGATAGAGCGTCTCGGCGCGCTAGTACGGGACGACCGGAGCTGGTGGGACATGGCCATGGGAGGAGCCCAAGCTTCGCGGGGCCTAGTCCCGCGGGGAGCATTGGGAGGGGAGAGATGCGGAGGATGCAGAGCGATAGTCATTTTGAGCGGTATGCGGAGACGGACGATGAGGATTACGAGGACGTGTTCGGGAAACCGAATGGGACGGTTTCTGGTACGGAAGCGCCAATGCAACTCACGACGCGTTTGTCGAACAAGTCGTGGCTCGGCGACGAAGACACGGACGAGGAGGATCCTTTCGCGGAGATCGACGAAGGGTTTGACGAGGATGATCTGGAGGCGAATCTTCAACACGACAAGTACGCTCGGCTTACGAGCAATATCAGCAGTCTCATCGACGAGCTGTCTCCCGCCGCCCCGGACTTTCAGCTGCGCGACGCGTGCGATCAGCTCATGGGTATCTTGACGGACGCACCGGAGATGCATGTGCAGTTCATGAGTTCGCATGGGATGTGAGCTATTCTGGAGGTGTTGGAGAGTAGGGCAAGTAGGGAGGTTATCATGCGGCTGTTGCAGATCATCAATCTGGTGTGTTGTATTATGCTGCATTCGGTGCGATGGCGCTCAACGAACTGCACAGCTCGTGACTGCGGACGCTGGGTTCTTGGAGAGTTTCTGCTTGATAGGGTGCGTCGTATAGTGCTCATCTGTGTATGCGTGACTGACTGTATCGAAGAGGTATCCCGGTCATGATGGGATTCACTTCTAAGAAATACCCATCAGAGTGCCGACTCGAAGCGTCGAACTTTATCCAATTGCTCTGTCACACGAGCGTATTGACACTCCAGATGTTCATCTCGCACGTTCATCCGCTCGCCACTATTCTACCCCTACTGACAAGTCTTCTAGATGTCGCGGTCTGAAGGTTTTGGTCGACCTACTGGACGAGGACTTTGCCGAGCAGACGGATCTTGTCGTACACGCGTTGGGAGGCATCGGCTCCGTATTTGAGCTGCAGAGTCCGACGACGAAGAATGACTTCTGTAGGATGTTCATTCGCGAAGGCTTACTGGATCCGCTTTCGTCTGCGCTTCTGAACGTCATGGTTAACCGCGGCCCGACGGCGGACGAGATGAAGCGCCGGATCATCGCCGTGCTGCTCGTTTTCTGCCAGGTCAGCCAACAGGATATCCATGTGCGGAAAGCGCTTGGCACGCGCAAGGTTGTCCGAAGTGAGTGGCACACTTTGAACCAGTCGATCTGGGACTCATGTCGCGCAGGATTGCTCCGGGCATGCGAGNGTCCGAAGTGAGTGGCACACTTTGAACCAGTCGATCTGGGACTCATGTCGCGCAGGATTGCTCCGGGCATGCGAGTTACTGGAGCCCGAGTACTTGGTGCAAATGCTCAAGGCCATCAAACACCTCTCCATGAATGCCATGCTCCTCGAAGTCCTCCAGAACGCCAACGCCATCGAGATCCTCACGCGCATCTTAGACGAACAGAGCGCTGGACCTCACAGCACAGAGATGTCGAACCACATCTTCCAGGCGCTCTACAACCTGTGCCGCCTGAACAAGGGACGTCAAGAAGAGGCCGCGCAAGCAGGCATCATCCCCTGTCTCGTTCGCATTGTTCGGAGCGCCTCGCCGCTCAAGCAACTTGCGTTGCCTATACTGTGCGATCTGGCCAGTGCTGGGAAGAGTTGTCGAACCTTACTGTGGCAACATGGTGGCCTCAATTTGTACATTGAGCTCCTCACGGACCCATACTTCCAAGTATCTGCGCTGGAATCCGTACTCGCCTGGTTGCAGGAGGAGACCGCACGTGTCGAGGACGAGCTGCTGAAGCAGTCCTCGCTAGACGCGTTGCTGAAATGCTTTGTGTCAGCAAAGGCGGGTTCATTCGAGAACCTGCTTGATCCCCTACTCAAGATCATACGTCTCGCGCCGCCCGTGGCTATCGGCATCGCCAAGACAGCCTTTTTCAAGCGCGTCGTGGAGAAGCTTGGAAACTCTAAGGCCGTCGTGAAGCTCAACCTACTCAGGATTCTGCGCGCCGTATACGAGATCCACCCCAACCGCGCGAGCCTCGTCGTTCGTTTGCGTCGCGAGGACCCGGCGGTGCTCGTGCGCGAACTGGAGCGCGAAATCGAGCCGAGTTTGCGGCCTGCGCTCGCCGGGCGCGCATCAGCTATCAAGGCGCTCGAGACGCCCAAGAGCGGTGTTGCGCCGAAGAAGAGGTCGAGTCGGAGGACGGCGTCGGATACGTCGGGCGTTAGTATGATCTCGCCGAATCAGTCGCTGGCGAGTAGTGGGGCGCGAGAGGCGCGCAAGAGTCATTTGCCGTCGCGGAATAGGTTGGGCGATATACCGTGGCAGGCACCCGGTGGGGGAGAGTCGCGTTGATCGCGATGATGAGGTTGCTGTATGTCTTTGTCCATAGGGTTTTCCGTGTATATCTTTGCGTTTTGTGCCGACTTTCGTTGACTATTGAGGATACTGCTGTCTCATCTTCCGCTCCATACACATTCTCTCGTCATACTCGGAACTGGATTCAAGTCTGCCATCTACACGCACGCTCGCTCTCGCATTATGCACGCACTTCTTACCCGCTACTCTTTCTTGTTCATGCATTTAGCCTAGTCTCTGAGGAACAATCCATAGGTTAGCGTAACAGGGTGCAATACCCGATCTAATTACTACTGGGATGGTGCTGAAAGTTTCAGAAGTTCCTATTGAAGACCCTCCGGGTTGATTACGCCGGGGGGTGTATATCAGTGTATTTAGACTCATGAGCAGCGTGTCATGTCATCCGGTAGTCGTCTGCCGGAGCGCAGTGTGGGATATCTACCCGCTCATGTACGAGTACTGGAGGATCATCCGCTGGTCGCCGCGTGAGGCGGCGTGAACATGGCGATGCGCGCCGTGGGACCGCGACGACGCGCGCTCTCGCGCACTTCACGGGTCTGATTCTAACGATCATGAGCAACGCGGTCTTTCATCTTCTTATCCGAATGCTTTCTCAATGCTTGGAACCTCGTACCGGACTGGGCAAAACGTAGCGGGCCAGTACGGGCCAACACCAGAAACCGAACACAGCCTCCGCAAACCGAGAAGTTGCCCGCTTCGTACGGCGTCTATCGGTTGCACTGCCCCTGCTATACTGCAGTCTGCTTCGGATTTCCTTCCCTGCCTATAAGGGCTATGTCATCACTACAGCAGACATTGCGGCGTGGGGGTCCGACTGGTCGTAATCCCGAGATGGCAACAATAGTTTCTTCTGCACCCATTGAATGTCCTCACGATGCTTCGAATGCTATGCATTTATGGTACCCGGAACGTATTGACGACAGATGACTGGATGATTGCTCTTTGGGCCCGTATGGCACAGACACGCACCGGCGAATACTTGAGCTTGTGACATCCGAGCTATCCTAGGATTGCTGGACTGAATGTAGATTGGTCGCATGTAAGGAACACTCCTCTTCCCTCCCCATACGACGCAGATCTATCTCCGCCCCTTTCTTTTTGATCAGTCCCGCACGTAAGCATGTTGGAAGCGCCATTTCTCGACGGCTACCTTGGAGCCCTTCTCATAGGCACCATGGTGTCGACAGCGTCAGTGAACTCAGGTTTCGCGATATACGTGTGGGAGGCACTCAAGAGGTTTCTTGCTTAGGATATATGGCATCACCGGACTTCAATACTACCTATACTTCGCCCATCACAGCACACGCGATGGGCATCTGGTTAGATCCATTGTGAGCGTAGCCCCTCTCCGAGAGTCTGTTGAGACTCACACGGCTTTGTTCGCTGTATACTGATAATAATGCCCAGGTCTTTGCGTCGAGGCGGTCTATACCTACGGCTCCTTCCCAGGGCGAGGC